TACACCCTATGCCAAGGAGCAGGGCCAGCTTTTACACTAGCTCTATACCAGCTAGAGAATCCCCCTATGATGTAGGTATTCTAAAAGGGTCATTTAAGTCTCTTTTTATGACTACTTTTCACCACTCTGTATCATAGGATCTAGCCCAGCATTTGTTAATAGTTACCAAGATTTTCTGTAGATTTAGACCAGGAAACATTGCAGTAACTGGGGGAATCCTCAGATCTGTGTCAGGGCAACTTTATGGCCCCTTTGCACTGCTAGAGTGGTACAAAGGGGACATGTTATGGAAGTGAATATAGTCCCTAGCCTTTAGATTTTCAAAGGTTTAGATTTTGTAAGATCATTTGAATTTACTAAGACAATCATCTCTATTAAAATGTGGTAAATTTGACAATCCTTCATGTAGTATATCCGTTAAAAAACCTTTCCCATGGCCTAGGGACTTGAACAATGGGTAATATCTCTGAATTTTAATGGAAGGTATATATGATACAATGGAAAAATAGGTATTTCTCAACATTGGTAGCACTGGTGGACCTTCAACCATGCAGAAAAATGAATATACATCTTCTGATTGTAGACAAGGTGTTAGTGGTTAGAGTTCCAGACTGAGGAAAACCCAACAAATTACCTATCTGATTTTAGGTTAATGCTGTGTAACTCAGGATGGATAATGTCCATGAACTTTTGCATCTATTAGACTTTTAACTAAGATTTTAGGGAGAGATTTTCAAAGGCACAAATAGCAATTAGGTGCCTAATTCCCTATCTACACTGGAAACTTATATCAGCATAGCTATGTCTCTCAGAAGTGTGAAAAAGCCACACCCCTGAGAAACATAGTTATGCCAACCTAACCCCCAGTGTAGACAGCACTAGCTTGACAGAAGAATTCTTCCCTCAACCTAGTGGATTAACTACGGTGATGGGAGAACCCATTCCGTTACTGTAGTAAGTGTCTACACTGAAGCAATCCAGCAGCCAAGCTGCAGGGCCACAGATGTTAACATTTTAAATGTAGCCATAGACTTAGTGGGTTAAATATTTGTATGTAAAATAAAGTGTTTAGTGACTTTATAGACTCATTAAAATATTTGAAACTATTTTTCCCTTTAACCCTTTAATTCAAAAAGATTATAATGAACACTAAATCCTTTATAGTTGAATGTCCTTGTTCAGAAATCAGTTATCACGCTCATAAATTTATCGTAAGGGTATCTTTCTTTCAATCCAAGATGCTAGTGTGTATATATGATATTCTGTCTTTCTGCTCTAGTTGTCTGTAGAGTACATGTTTCTTTCTATTCTTTTCAAGGCATTTCCATCTACTCTGACTGTAATTAGTCTCTATGTTTCCTTGACCCACACTTGGGGATAGAGCCAAGCCCACAGCATGGGGCCGGGTGTAGTTGTGCCACCCAAAGAGGATCTCTAGAAAGAAATTTGAAGTAAAAAGATACGTTCTCATTGAAAATAACATATTTTTGAACCATTCATACAGTGAAGTTTCACGAGGTACCAATAACAAGTTAAATAATAGAAAATTAGGGCAATCTACAGCTTGTCAGTGTTCATGTACTAATTCCACTGACGGTTCAACTTCCTGAGTTCTCTACTGTCAAATATCCTTTCATCTTTACATCCCCTGCCTGGTGAAGTCTGCACCTGTGCTAAGAGAATTAATCAGCTCTGTCCAGATGGATGCTAATGACAGGGACTTTATACAAAACATTATTATAAATTCACATTCACATCTCATTTTCTTTTGTCTCACTCTATTTATAGCGCTGATGTCTACAGGTACAATTATGATGGCAGTATTTTTCAAACCGGCAAAATATTAAGGTACTATTTGAAATGTTTCATGTACACCCACTCAGATTCATATCTGTCAAGGATTGTTGAACAAATCCTACAAGTATGCTTCATCCTTTCCATAATATTTATGTTATTCCACTTATATATTGAAGTATCCGAAAATGCTTTTCAATTTTACATCTACAGTACAGAAGTAATTTCACCTGCCCTGAAGTGTAGCCAACTCTTGGGGGGAAATCTATGAGCTGAGTAACAGTGTGCAGCAGCATTACATATAAAATTAGGACATGAAAGGGGGAAAGAATTGAAATTTCTTTAAGTAGGAAATATGTACCTAGTGAAATTTGGATTTGGCCAGAATACCAAAGCTAGCACACAGTCTCTTATAAAAAGTGACTTGGATTCTGTAATGAGCACAAGTGGTTAAACTTTGGTTTTACATTTAATTCAAAAGATGGCATTTCATGCAACAGACTATTCCCTACAACCATGCTGGGTATTGGTTCATTAATGACTCCAAAAGGAGAGTGCTGCCCATGGCGGGGGGAGGACAAATCTTGTGTATTTTGTGCTTTTTCCAAGCCTTGTGAATTGTTATTGGACAAATCTAGGTTGAGCTTGCAAAGTTTTTTTTCCTGTATTTTTAAGAAATCATGCTGTTGGCTCTATTCAAGGATATTTCTGTTTATTGAAAAAAACGGCTTCTGAGCTTAAAAAAAAAAGCACACACTATAGTGAAGCCTACAATTAAAGTTGTCCAACACTTTCCATAACAGCCTGTTTTCAGTTGCTTGTAACTCCGCCAAACTTTAACCAGTTGGGCTAAAATTTTCCCTGCTCTGTGTCTGCGAAGGCTGAATTCTTTTTGGAAAATTTCAGCTGAAATGATTCTCAGGTGAAATTCAGAAAAAGTACATTGTTTTACCCATCTTGAAAATTCTTGTAAAACTGTTTCATTGGGCAGCTCTTCCATGTTCATACTTGGACCAAGGACTTCAAATTGGCAGAGGGGGTCACCTTTGTTCAAGGAATAAACCTGTGGATGTCCACATGAAAATTGGCCTAAATTTGGCCAAATTATCAGTCTCAGACAGTGTATCTTCTCTCCTTGCTTCTTTCTTGCATCCGGACAGGTAAGTCATCTCAGGCATCAGCAAACATGCCCTTTTTTCTCTTTTCGGAATGTCATTATGATCTTATACTGATTGGTACAAAATTTGATGATGATGATGCCCGATCAGACCTTGGGCCCCATTATCATGGGTTCTGTGTACAAACACAGAATAGAGTCAATCCCTGCCTGAAGGGTGTACAGGCTAAAGAATAAAAGAAGATAGCTACACTGACTGATTCAGAATCAGGGATGGCTTCCCTAAAACGTTTAAGTTATTCACTAGCTTTTTCCCTAAATTATTGAGTGAACAGTTCTCAGATTAAGCTCCCTGAGTTTTCAAGAAAAACGTTTCAGTTTCTTGCGTCTGTATTTGACCTGTCACTCATTGTGTAGCTCAGTATTTTAGTCCACCAAAGTCCTCCCTGAATTCCACGGTCCCAGAAAATTACATATGGGGAAATAATAACTCCTCTAAGAGTGAGAAAGTCAGTAACAGGAAAATCAGTTTTAACCTTATGTGTGGCCTCGTCCTGCACCATGAGCTGTGCCAATGACTTCAATGGGAGCAGAATCAGAGCCTGAGCCAAGAGCCCCACTGTGACAATCAGAGACCAGACATCCCAGGGGAGAACAGGGGATACAAACTCCAAAGAATAAAAAAATGAAATCAACTGATTCTATGTAATATTATTGTACTATAAAAATGGATTGAGTAAGGTCTTTTATGAAACCTGGTGACTAATCTCATTGTGAAATGTATTAATTATTAATATTAATACATTATTATTAATGGTATTAATACTCCATGAGGAATTATGGATATTTACTGATATTATGCTTTAAAATATGTAATCAGGGCCAGCCTTACCGGTGAACAGGCTAGGCGACCACCCAGGGTGCGCCTTGCTGAGGGGTGCCTCCGGAGCAGGGGTGTCCTGTCCCTCCTCCCACCACTGCTCTTCGGCCATCTGCAGCCATTGCTGCTCCTGCTCCTCCCTAAAAAGTGGGGGGGCACCATTGCCTGTTCCCCCTGCGCCCCTGCCCTCACGCTGTCCCTCCCCCATGAGTCCCCACCCTTGCACGGCCTTTCCCCCCAAGACCCCGCCCCCTGATTACTCCTCTCCGCCCACATCACTCGCCCTTACAGCATAGCCCTCCTACTTTTAAAAGTGATGGGACCATGGCTCTCTGACCCCCGGCCTCCCATGCTGGCACCCCTGCTCCTGCCCCCTCCCTCTGCTTAGAGCTGCCCCTGGCCACGCTGATCCTGGGCCCCTCCTGTCTGCTGGGCAATGGGGGGCTGATGTTGCGGTATCAACATCCCCCGACCTGTGCAGCTGGTCTCTGCTGATCTGGGGTTGGGAGACTGGGACCTGTGCTGCTGTCTCTGGGTCCACAAGTGGGAGCTGCTGGCCGCTGCTGCCAGATTGAACAAACGTTCAGACTGGTGAGTGCTGAGCTTAAAGTGACAGCACGCTGTCTCTCACACTGCCCCGACACACACTCTGTCTTTCCCTCACACACAAACGCACACACACACACACACTCTGTCTCTCTCTCTCACTCCCCCAGCACACACTTGTATTATTGTTTAAGCTCCAGCAAAGGGCTCTCTCTCTGAGGTAGAGAGGTAACATGGTGGGTTATGCTTCTGGGTGCCCTGAGGAGAATGTCACACCTTCAGTAACAATCACCTGGCCATTGCCATAGTAACCATAATCCTTGTGACGTAAGTGAGTCCATTGTGCCCTGCTCCTGCCCCTTAACCAGGAATGAGATCCTTCCCTAGCCTAGCCTGAAGTGATTGCTTTACTTCCACTAAGGCAGATGCTGCTTTCCTGACTGCAGAAATCAAACTGGAGACACACAGTATTACTCAGCATCCCATCATCTCAGACATATAAGTGGATGTTTCCATTCACCCAGATGCTTCTACACACATTCTGCATCCCCATATGGCATTTCCTCTGTTGATCCCATGAGCCATCATTTGCCCTGCTGTTCTCTGGGTGGAAATTACTGTCAGCTTGTGAATATCATTCAGGGTGTGCCTGGCCTTTTCCAGGTTGCTTTCCGTGCCTTTTGTGGCATGATGGCCACCATCTTGGTTGTGAGTGAGTATTGCACAGAGCTAAAAGCTAAGCTAAGAGATACTGCTTCAGCTAAAGGACTGAGTCCCGTAGCTGGCAACAATAACAGACTCATATCCTTTGTGGACTGCGCACAGAGTGGGGACACATACCACACTGATAATAGTAGGTTGCAGGATCACATTGTGGCGCTGGTTTCACAATGTTTTTTCATTTAATTTTAAAACAAAAAGGTGTTTACTTGGTAACCACGCTACCTATGAGTGACATTCCTGTCCATTGTGCCCTGACATTGGAGCCCTGCACTGTTACCCAATACAGATTGATGGTTTTTACTCTCCCTAACTCTTATTATTCCAGTCCAATCTAATCTGATATCATCTGTTTCGATGCACCATCACTCATGCAGTTTTCACTTGGCTGCTTCCCCCCAGTGCTGTAGCTTCCAGGTGATATTTACCAGGTTGATGCCATCCTCAAGGTTGTTTGCCAGCAGCAGCCAGCCTTCCCCAGGCTAAGACTTTTTTGAATGCCAGATTTTGTGAGGTAGCTCTCAGTTTCCTGGCTGGGACACAGAATTTGAAGTAAAATTCTTACAGGGGATATAACTGGGAAAATTCTTCACCTGAACATATCCACTATTTGAGCAGACAGTGTTGTCCCCTGGGAATGGCAATTAAAAAACATTAAATTTTAAGCTTAGAGTTTTGAACTACATGATTCGTGAAGTGAGAATTTGAATTACTGAAACTCTAGGCCTTGTCTGGATGAAGAAATGGCTGTTAGATGCTTCCAGTGCCAAAATGAGGTACCATATGTGAGCTCAACTGTTCCAAAGCAAAATAAAATGTTAATCATTAATGGCGGCTTCTAATATTTTTGGAAAGTCTGTGTAATCTTATCTCCACAGCATGTTAGTCAGTGTGTCGCTTTGAATTTGAAGCAAATAGGAAATATTTTTAGGCAAAGATTGTCTTGGTATATCAACTTTTAATTAATATAAATTAATATTTGAAAACAAAGACATTCTCATGACCAAAGTATACCTGCTGGTAGAAATGTAGGTTACTAACATAAAGAGAAAGGTTTAAATTTACCACATAGATAAAAAAACATTAATTAACAGCCCTGCATGATAAGTAGATAAGAATTCTTATCTCCATTTTACAAACAGGAAACTGAGGCATCAATAATTTAGGGCCAACATTTCAAACTTGAATGCCTGAAGTTATCATAATTGATGATAAAAATGTTGGAAGGGATAGAAAACCTTGCTGAGTTTAAACCCATCTCTAACTATTAGAGATTCGGATGAGGCATAATGTGGAGGCCAGACTACCCCACATCTACCTACTACAGGGTTTTTGCACCTTCCTCTTAAGCAGCTGGTGCTGACCACTGTCGGAGACAGGATACTAAGTAATTGGACCCTAGGTATGATCCAATCTGGCATTTCCTGTGTTCCTACATTGATTATCAGAGATGCTGAGTATCCACAATTTCCATTGAAGTCAATGGCACCCAAGTTTGGAAATTCTGGCCAAAAGTATGCACCGAAGGCTACACATAGTTAGACAGTGGCAGAGCTAGAATTAGAAAAAGGAGCTTCTGGCTCTCAGTCTCATACGTTTTCACTAGACCACACTGTCTCTCTGTGGAAGGAATAAAAATGGGTGGATTTTCTTTCTGTCTTGCTTGTAGGATGGCGTTAGCTAGAAAGAAATTCATCAAAACAACCTATATTATCTATTTGGAGCTGGAGAAGGTTCCCACCAGAGAGCCAGAGATCATCTTCTTAGATGAAAATATACAGCTGCGCGTGGGGAATGAGGCAAACACTGTGAACCAACAGCAGCAGGCAACTTCTGAAACATCTCAGCACATTGCTCATGGGAAGGAGAGACGCTGTGTGCTGAAAAGGAAAATCAGATGCACAGTGGTGCAGGAGAAAGGTCTAACTGGTGAACTAGAGCCAGAGCCCAGGATTATAATGGAGGAGGCAGAGAGCATCACCCTGCAGCAGGAGGAGGAAAAAGAGAATATCAGTGCACAAGGGAAAAGCACAAAGACATATCTCGGTTTTAATACAGATGTCTCCCCACAGCAGGAAGAGAAGAGCAACTGTGAGGTACAAACATTCACCATTTATTATGCAAATCATGGCTTCTTTGCAGGGTAAAAGTGGGCCGGTACGGGCTGATACAGCGTACCGGTAAGAAGCCGGTACCAGCCTGTATGCAGCAGATGTTAAAGCACTGCCACGGCAAAGGACCCTCCTTAAAGTGCTGCTGTAGCAGCGCTTTAACGGGCCGCTGATGGGTGGGGGTAAAAGGGGCAGCTGCCCCGGGGCTAGAATTTAAAAGGGCCTGGAGCTCCCAGCTGCGGCCGCCGCTACCGCAACAGCAGCTAGAGCCCGGGGCCCTTTTAAATCACTGCTGGAGCCCCGGGCAGCGCAGGCCAGGCAGTGCGGATGGGCTGGCTGGGGGAGGCTGACCCGAGCCCCGCCCCTTCCGCCCAAGACCATGCCCCTTTCACCCCTGCTTCTTTGCCTCTCATGCTCTGGCCCTCTCTCTGCATGCCCCATGCCTTCGCTTGGCCTGTTTATTCCCACACGCTCAGAGCATCTTGTTTGTATGCTCCTGGTCAACTCTCTGCTCACTCCAGGATCTTTCTCTGCCCACTTAACCCTACATACAACAAGGTTCTCTCTATGCACACATTTCCCTGCATGCTCTGGCCCTTATCTTCACACATCTATTCCTGCACGTTTCTGGCCCTCATGTGCATGCTACTAGCCCATTCTCCCTCCACACACTTATCCTGCATGCTCTGGGCCTTCTTTTTGTACTCCTATCTCATACAGTTCAAGCCATTCTATAAATATGATATTAAAGATTAAGCAAGCCTGCTGTGAGATTTTATAACTCATCTGACACCAGGAAGGAAACTTCCTTTCCAACTCAGGGCTTTAACTAGACTCCTGGTAGTATCAGTCCTTTGCATAAAGGTGATGTCTGTCATCTGAAGGAACTCAAATATGAAACTGCAGAACTACTAACTGTGATATGTAACCTATCACTTAAATCAGCTTCTGTACCAGATGACTGGAGGAAAGCTAATGTGACACCAATTTTGTAAAGGTTTCAGAGTAACAGCCGTGTTAGTCTGTATTCGCAAAAAGAAAAGGAGTACTTGTGGCACCTTAGAGACTAACCAATTGGTTTGCTCAAATAAATTGGTTAGTCTCTAAGGTGCCACAAGTACTCCAATTTTTTAAAAGGGCTCCTTAGGCAATCCTGGCAATTACAGGCTGGTAAGCCTAATTTCAGCATCAGACAAATTGGTTGAAACTATAGTAAAGAACAGAATTATCAGACAGTTAAATGAACATGATTTGTTGGGGAAGAGTCAGCATGGCTTTTATACAAGGAAATCATGCCTCACCAGTCTATTAGAATTCTTTGAGGGGGTCAACAAATATGTGGACAGGAGTGATCCAATGGATATAGTGTATTTGGACTTTCAGAAAGCCTTTGACAAGGTTCCCTACCAAGGCTTATAAACAAAGTAAGGAGCTATGGAATAAGAGGGAAGCCTCTCATGGATCAGTAAAAGTTAAAAGACAGGAAACAAAGGGTAGGAATAAATGGTCACTTTTCAGAATGGAGAGAGGTAAATAGTGGTTTCCCCAGGGATCTGTAGTGGGATCAGTGCTGTTGAACATATTAATAAATGATCTGGAAAAAGAGGTAAACAGTGAGGTGGCAAAGTTTACAGATGATACAAAATTACTCAAAACAGTTAAGTCCAAAGCAGACTGCAAAGATTTACAAAGGGATCTCACAATGCCATGTGACTGAGTAACAAACTGGCAGATGAAATTCAGTGTTGATAAATGCAAAGTAATGCACTTTGGAAAACATAATTGCAACTATACATTCATAATGATGGGGTCTAAAATAGCTGTTTCCCTCAAGAAAGAGATCTTGGAGTCTTTGTGGATAGTTCTCTGAAAACATCTGCTCATGTTCAGTGGCAGTCATTAAAGCTAACAGAATGTTAGGAACTATTAGGAAAGAGAGAGATAAGATAGTAAATGCCACTACTAAATCCATGGTATACCCACACCTTGAACACTGAATACAGTTCTGGTCACCCCATCTCAAAAAAGATGGATTAGAAATTGAAAAAATACAGAGAAGGGCAACAAAAATTATTAGAATTAGAACAGCTTCCATCTGAGGCGAGATTAAAATGACTGGGACTAGTCAGCTTGGAAAAGAGATGACTAAGGGGGGATATGATAGAGGTCTATAAAATCATGACTGGTGAAGAGAAAGTGAATAAGGAAGTGTTATTTACCCCTTCACATATCACAAGAACCAGGGGAATTAATTAAGAAATTAATAGGCAGGAGGTTTAAAACAAACATAAGGAAGTACCTCTTCAGACAGTGCACACTCAACCCAGGGAACTCGTTGCCAGGAGATGTTATGAAGGCCAAAAATATAACTGGGTTTAGAAAAGCACTGGATAAATTTGTGGAGGATAGGACCATCAATGGCTATTAGCTGATATGGTCAAGGATGCAACCCCATGCTCTGGGTGTCCATAAGCCTCTAACTGCCAGAAGCTGGGACTGGACAACAGCGGATGGATCACTTGATGATTGCCCTGTTCTGTTCATTCCCATTGACGCATCCGGTATTGTCCTCTGTCAGAAGACAGAATACTGGGCTAGATGAACCATTGGTCTGACCTAGTATGGCCATTCTTATGTTTTTATTTACAAAAGGCTTTTCCCTGTTTCCATCAGATCTATGAGGAATCTGATCCCCTGGCTATAGTTACCAGCCAGATCCTTGTAGCTGTGGCTGGTCTGAGAGACACAGTGAAAACCAATGCTCAGGCAGCTGCAGTAATGTTGACCTCAGTCCTGAAAGAGCACAGGCACAATATGAAGGAAAAGGTAAGAGGTTGGGAAAGTTAGAATGATCTTTTCTGGATCTAGAAGATGGAATCTGCATTCTTTAGAGTCTCTGAGTTGTCTTTCTCTTTACAAGTTTGAAGCCTGGAGCACAGGCTCAGAATCATCTTTTTTAAAAGATAATCCAAATTCTTTCCTCAAGGACTGTGCAGTCCCTGCTTAAAAGATAGATGATTAAATCCTTTCTATGAGTATTTGTGTCCTGTTTGTATAAAATAATAGTCTACAAAACAGGAAAATGCATCTGAAATATCAGTTGTAAATTGGGGTCAGCAAATTGATCGTCCAAACCTTAAACAAAGCATTTCTAGGGAATTGAGATAGTTTGCTTGACTTTTATTTCTTTTCACTGTTTTTCATTTTCACTGCATCTTTGCATTTTCTAGATCTGGATGGGACTAGAAGACAAAATAATGCAAGAAAAACCACATTCATAGTATTTCCAGACTCAACAGAGGCAGGAACTATCAGAAATCCTGTAAGGAACCCAATGTTCAAGCTCTTAAATCCAGTTTTGCAGACACAGGAGGTTCAGATAGTTTGAATGAGTGTCCACATTTTGGATGCGTATCTGATACAAGTGTCTAAACCCTTAAAGATTCAACTTTTGCTAATTATAAATGGTCATTGGGCAATCGTTATGTAAATTGTCACATGAGATAAGGATTACTCAGAAGCCCAGCAATTACAATGGTGACACTCGATGAACTGGATTAGCAAATCTTCCCATATATGCCCTTTGTTTGTCTATCTATCAGGGCCTAATCTTGCAAAATGCTTAGTGCCCTCAATTCCTGTTGAAACTGATGGAAGTTGAGGGTGCACAGGATATTCTCATCACCTTGTGGCATAAGGCCTTTAGTTCTGATCCCTGGAGTTGCTTTGTTTGTTTTTCAGCAGGGAGTATTCTGTAGCGCCGTGAATCAGTCCCACCCAGACGCTCATAATTGCTACATTCAGACATAAACTGGAAGGGGAATGAAACCACAGAAGAAACAGTCTCTAAATCAGTTTTATTATTTCCTTACAGGTGCCAGAGATCATGGATATTATTTATTTCCACCTGCAGGCTACCCAGGAGGCCAGTGCCAGACAGGCAGCTATGGGGGCTGTGTGTTTACTAGCTGAAAAGCACACAAGAGAAGTAGTCTCAGCCCTACTGAGACTCTCACTCCCATGTGACAGGTAAAATTGCTGCACTGCTCTCCTTCATGGTTCCAAAACTGAGTGAGGACAGGGATGGAATCTCATCTCAATCCAATTCCCCATAGATGGAGAGATAGGAGGAACAGGATGCTGAATACAATAGAGTTAATCCCAATGACTCTCTTATATGTAAAATAGTGTTTGTAATTAAAAACAAGAAAACCAAATAGAGCAGCAAAAGTCTGATAATCCCTGTAAACTCTGCTATGATGCAGACCCAGAGTGCCTTCTGCTCTGAGGGTGTTCCTCCATGCCCTTTTGAAGGACAGCAATTCTTTCTACTGAAGACTACATGATCCCACTTACTAAATTTATGCCTCAGCTCCCAACGGTGCTACTCCAGAACTAAGGTCCAGTTCCTCCCCTGACCTCCACTCATAGGCATAGCTCTGCTTACTAGCACAGTGGGACTGTGAAAAGATCCTGTAAATCACATATTCCCATGTTCTCGAATCCGCAGCCATGTCAGTCACCTCTGGGAGGCCCTAGGCAGAGCCAAAAAAAGTGCCAGCCTCCGGGTGCTTGCTGAGCTCCTGGAGATGCTGAAAAGAAGACCCTGCCTCATGAAGAGTGAAACCTCTGAGTCAAGAAGTAGCTTTGAGGATAATGCCTCTCTTTTGCCTCTAGCTGTAAGTCATAACCCAAATATTACCCTCTTACCCCCAGCTTCTGGGCTTGTCTATATGGCTACCTAGGAGTTATATACTTCATGGCACCCTGTGCAGGGAGCTCTCATCCCTTGGAAGAGGGAGAGACCTAGAGAGCATGATCTGCTGCTGGGTCTTTCTAGGACAGCTCTTGGATGGTGGCTTTTACTGCTGCAGCCTTTCCAGAGCTGAGCAGCAAGGAAGGAGAAACCAAGGGTAAGGGAAATTGGTCTGCTTTGCATTTTGGAACTGGGGTCCTTAATGATGGATAGTACATTTGGGTACGTTTAGGGTCTCAACCTGCAGTAGAGGCTGGTCAAAATCTCCCCTTTACCTCCTCATCTCCCTCCACTGCATTGGTATGGGACTTCATTGTAAACATTGCAGAGAGCCTGAGACCAGAGTGGCTGAAGACTGGGTCAGGTATTATTTGTGGGGACTTTTGTTTACGTTTGGGCTTGGATCATTACGTTTGGGCTTGAAGAGTCTGGGCCCACTGGAGATGGAAGAACCCTGGGAAAGGGTAGATTTCTTGTTTGGACTTTTGCTGCAAGGCCCGGTCCGTGTTTGTTGAAAGGGATGAAATTTAACCCAGATCTAAACTTTTGCTGACATAGCTATGTCAGCTGGGGGTACAATGAGCAGTGAGCTCTAACTGACATAGCTGTGTGAGCAAAAGCCCCAGGTCTGAATGTAATTATAACAGTAAAACTGCACTTTTGCCAGCATAGGTTAGATCTCTCAGGAGGGCAGCAAGACTGTGCTGGCAAAAGCACAGTTTTGCTGGTATGAGCTGCATCCCCATTAGGAGCTCTTTGCTGGTATAGTATACTGGTATATATACTGTCAAAATGCTCCTGCTGTAGAGCTGGTCTTAATTTAGCTGGATAGCCAAACAACCCCCAGGCCAGCAAAATGGCAGAAGGGTCCATGTTACTATTGCAACAAGGTAAGGTCTCTCTCCACCAAGAAAGAAATGTACAGTATTATGCTCAGTACTGTACGTCTGAGTTTGGAGAGAGAGAGCTCCATGATGGCACAGGGAAACAGGAGAGAGGTCCTTCATGTCCTTGCCAAAGCCATGACAGCTTCCTCATCTTTTCCTGCTTTGTCTCTCTCCTCACCCAAGCCATTAACCTTCTTACAGGAGCACGGAACATGAGTCCTTTTGTAGGGTCATGACATAAGCTACTCATTCAACGAGGGGATCACTGTGAAGCAGACTGAGAAAAGCTCATGTCATACTGGAATGCTCCGGAATGCCACTCTGGCACTTTTGGAGAGCATTCTGATACTTCTGGTAGTATCACGTAGGAATGAGAGTTCCAGAACTACGTTCTGGCACTTCTCTTTTTAGGACTCTCACACTTCCTCAGTACAGCCAGGCCCTGCAGTTTATGAAACAAGTAACCCGGGATGCAAATCAAAGTTGGGCCTTTGTAGCATGGCAGTGCAGTGTACTGGCTGCTCTAATGACAATATTTCAGGGGACACAGTTCCATCTTCTGTGATTTACTGTGAGCCAGGAGAGGAACAAAGCATATTTGTGGCAGAGAAAAAGAAACGTTGGGAGGAAAATGGAGGATTTTAGAGTTAAATTTGTGTCTAATTTTTATCTTTTTCAGGCAACAAGGGCCCTGTGCATAATATTCAATAATAAAGAGTGCACAGTGCCTATGGATGCCTTTTATGTATCTGTGTTAATCTTCCTGATCATTCAACTGCATTACCTGGTGAGCCTCCCAAAGGTTGTGTGTGGCTGGGAGGACAGGTTCCAAACATCCAGCTTTGTGAGGTAATTTCTGATAAGGTGCTAATTAGGCAGATTATCCTATTTCCGTGAACCACCACCATCACTGTCTCCGTGGTAATCCACAGCCCCTAGTGCAGAGGTTCTCAAACTATGAGGAACTTCTGATTTAGAAACTCTCCTATGGGATGATCTAAATAGGGAAATTCTGAGGAGAGTGTTTAGGACACCCCACTTAAAAGACAATTCCCCAGTCAGGCCTATCTCCTGGAAGAATACTTCTAACAGAGCAATCTCTTAAGGCTCCCTGATGGGTTTGAGATAAGAGGCTTTAATTAATGCAAAAGAAACAGTATCAATATTTAATGAATGTTCTTTGGAAGATGGGGTGGGAGGAGGTTAATCGACGTATGATTTTTTACATGCAGATAACAAGCAAAGTATTAGAATGTCTGGAAATAGAATCTCTCCTGCTTCATCTCTTCTGTTTGTTTTCATTTTGATACCTGTACCCTCTGCCTTCTCTGCTTATTTATTTGCGTAAACGGCCTTAGGCACTGGGTGCCAACAATTAATTAACAAAAACATTAAAAAGCCATAAGATGCTGCATTAAAAGAACCGAAAAGAAAAGAGAAATGTTTCTAACATAGTGTGCCAGGCCAGGGATAATCTAGGGAGGTGAGCTCTGTGTGACACTCAGCTGATCTTGCTTCACTGGGTTTCCAGTAAATACTGGAGCTTTCTTCCAATTATGTTTTTTGGAGTTTCTTACTCCTTTGAATTTCATTTGGGGTTTTTGTTTGAGATGAACCAAACCCCCAAAAGGACATTCAGCAGGAATGTTTGTGTTTTTTCTTGGTTAGGGTAAAAAAAAAAAAAAAGCGCAAAAAAGACAGTTTGCCTTCAAAAGATAAGTCATCCTCAGCATTCCTTTCCTTAGCTTAATTAGCATGGGGACAGGATGATCCCCAGCAGATGCTTGCTATGAAACAGGGGAGAAGTGGGACTACCCGCTGGCCTTCCCTGACTCAGAAAGGCAAATACTTAGGGGTTCAAGTTCAGGTGTACTAAAAATTCAAAGTAAACCTCAAAGGGCACAAATCCCACACATACCTAAACAGACGGGTTTTGCTCAACACTTATTGCACTTTAGTATGGTGATGCTCATAGGATTGATATCTTGGCTGTATACCAGGGCTACAAATGTAACAAACATGCAAACATCAGTGTTATCTATGCTGCACACATGTGTCATGTGAAGGCATAGACCCCAGGAATTTTGGCTCCAAAAAACACAGGCCTGTCCTATTGGAACCAAATAAAGTCTCCATTAGCCATATTTCTTGACCAGTCCAGCCACTCCCTTGTAGGGTGACATATACTCGTAACCATTTGAATAAGTCTTTAAGACGCCAGTCACATAATTCTCACTCTATCCAGTACAATACACCATGTGGTGAAAAAGGTGGGATCAGTCTCATTTATAATAGGAGATGTGCATGAGAATGGTACTGAGGGCTTAATTATATTAGTTTATTAACTTAGCATCTTAGCCATAGGCCATTGCACATAATACAATCAATAAATACAAATCAATAATACAAATGTTAAATTGACACAACCCCTAAAAACAGATACAAATTTTAAAAACAAAAATTAAAAACACAAGTTTAGCCCTTCAATTGCTTTGCATAACAAAATTTATGTTTTGGTGTGTCTCCAAATATCATCTATCACTCTCTTGTCCGGAATTTAGCTGTGCAGTGGAGGCTCTGAAAGCTGTCATTAAAAGAGAAAAATCCTCTTTGATGCAATCTGTGAGTCTGGCAGGAGGCTGGGACCTTTTATCTGTGCCAGAGACTTACCTAGAAGGAGTTCTCCTTCTGGCTAGGTAAGTGATTGGAGCGTTGAGTTCCTCTGGCTGTGCTGGCCAACACGGTTTCTGTCTGGAGTATCCTCTAGTCCTTGGCTTGTTTACTCTTTCTCCCCCATTAGTAAAAGTTTTGATATGTGTTCTACAGAGCCATTGTAAAACACCACCGGAGCCTGGATTTTGCCGTGTTTACCAAGGTGTCCCCTCTCCTGCACCACGGGGATGACAAACAGAAGCTGACTGCAATGGCCTTGTTCACTGGGGTAAGACTCTTATCTGTTGTGAATGTTTGGGATTCTTGGGAACTGCTCACTTTCAGGCTAGCTCAGTGAAGTAATGGGTCATTTGCATCAACGTCTCAGCTGACCCATGGGTAGAATCTCTCCATTGCCCTGCGCCTTGTATAGTCATTTATACCAATGCAAAGTGGGCATAAAACATTGCCATTCTGATTTGGTGTGATTTACCTCCACTTTGCTCTGGCCTAAAATGACCATATAAGGTGCATGGCAACAGAGAATTGAGTCCAGGAAGTTTTATATCTGATATGACCCATAGGAAAATCTCTCTATTTGCCTGTCAACTACTTATTATGTGTTCTGCCTCTTTAGCTTCTCTCTACTGAGTCCACATATGTGACATTAAAACAGCAATATATTCTGGGCCACCTGAAGAACTGGCACATTGACCCAAGTCCTACTGTCCGTTGGCTTGGTCTTCTTGGACTTGGAAATGTTGCACTTCACCTGCAGAAGGTGAGTGATGCTCATTTATACATTAAACCAAACTCTAGAGGAATGTCAAGGATATTTAAACCTACCATGAAAGCAATGAAACAAACCACACCTCTGCCAAATTAGAATAAGAAGTGCTGGAGGGAGTCAGGATTCAGTGAGCGATACCTGGCAAGGTCACAGCAGCTGCCCATGAATCTTCAAGGAGAAAAATAACTGTTCCTCATTGTCTCTAATACCCAGATATACAGCAAAGGTTCTCATCCCCCTGTAGCTGAAGCAGAGAGTATCTTCCTTTCCACCCATTTTAGAAGAAATGGCTATGGGATTGTGAGATCCTTATTATACTTGTAGGGATTTGAGCAAGTTTCCATTTCGTGCAGCAGAAAGAAGTCAAAGCCCTGCTTACTGATATCCTGGAGACTTTTAATGACCCTGAGGAGAAGGTAATTCTGATGGCTTTTGAGGCTGCTACCAAAATTGTCACCCACCGCAAGCACAAGGGCCATCTTGGCACAGAATTTGTGAAAACTGCCAGACAGCTTCACCCATTCCTGGCTGAGGTAAGGCACAATGGTGGGGGAGACTGTTGAAGTGAGTGTGGTTAAACCTTTTTGGTGGGGAGGGTTAAAGCTTGTGTGTGCATGTCAAATAAAAATAGAAGCCAAATCTTACTCTATAGCAAACATTGTTGCTACTCTTGTCTAGTGCTGTGTTGGTTGCAACTGAACACTCCTGTTTGCAGGTCCTGTTAGGTCAGAATAATTTCTGATGGAAAAAAGAGACTTGCTCCCATAAGGACAGGAGACAAAGACTAAATACTGACAGGCTAAAATCGTATCTGATTGGACTGAAGCAATATAAAAGGCCTGCGTCTGCATTCTCACTGGTGCAAATGAGGAGTAATCCACTAATGCTAATGGAGTTACACCAGCATGAAATCTGTGAGAGCGCAAAATCAAGCCCAGAGTGTATAAGCAATAATATACTACAGGGTTTGCTATTATTGTCATACGCAGATCACAGACAACAAAATAAGAGGTCTGGTGTGCAGATCTGGTGTTCTGTATACACATACAGACACACACAGACCACACACCCAGCGTATTACTTGTCAGGGTGTGCAGATGCCGAAGCAGAGAGTGGTGCATCTCCTACATGCATCTGTCATGGATACTGCACATGCTGGGGATATTACCATTGCCTTAATTCAGTAACATTTAGCACTTACAGGGTAGAGAGCTTTTCATCTTCAAAGTGCTTTACAAACTTTAACTAATTAAGCTTCACAGAACCCCTGTGCAGTAGGTAAATGTTATCCCCATTTGTGTAGATGGGGAAACCAGGTCACAGATGTTCAATGCCTTACACAACCAAGGTCACACAATGGGTCACAAAAACCTCAAAGTATAAGTGGCCAAACCCCAGGAGAGGGAAAGTAAAGAACACTTTAAACTAGAATCTTACCCCTCTCTTATTTGACTCTCTTTTGGGCCCTAAATACTATGAGCTGTACTCATACAGACATGAAATAGAAACAAATGGGAGTTCTTGGCTCTGGCTTTAGTACTCATTTGACCATGCCTTTCTTTAACCCATTTAATCAATAGAAATGGGTGACAGAGTCTGGTTTTGGTAAGTTAAACCATTCTCTCTCCGTGGTTTGCAGTATGCCGTGACCACCCAGCAAATTGCCTGGAAATGCCCTTTGTTGAGCTTCTTTCCTTTGTCATTCACAGGAGAGGCACAAAATATGCAGTGCTGCAACTGAGCTTTTTGGAGATCTGCTCAGGGCCCTGAATGGGAAAGGTAAATCCCTCATGCAGGAGCAGGTCCTCAGCAGTATGGTCCCACTGCTGCTGAATCTGCAGCACCAGCATCCTGATGTGATCAAGGTAAATGCCACTGCCATAAATTCCACAGCACAACACTACAAGCCCTAATCTTCAGACTTTCCTGCTAAATTCCCTAGGCTGCATCATCTCACCTTTTTCATGCTAGTGTGACAAGACTCCTGGTTTTCATGCTATCGTACATTCTGTGCAGGTCGATAGTGGAGTGGCAATTAAGAATCTGTTCCATTACCAGAAAGAGAGGGATATGAATGGCTCAGACAACTATATGGCCCCTAACAGACTACTTCCCTGTGATTGCTATGAACAAAAGTATGGTAAAGCCAGGGGGAACATATGGCCTACTGAGCACTCCCTTTAACATTCATTTCAACTGGATTTCCATTCTCAGTTGTCACCTATTTGATAATAATATCAGTACTTATCTCTGTTAACTCTGGAAACCCTTCCTGTCTCATCTTTTGTAGAGCTCTACAGACACCTTACAAGAGTGTAAAGTCTTTTTGGGATGGACCTTAAATGACAACCAGGAATCTTGGGACACTATCTGTGAGCACCTTGTAAGAGAACTCTGGGATTTCCTTCATTCTGTGTGCTTTTTCAGTGGTGTAGGAGGGAAAGAAGGGTAACAAACATAAGCTTCATTTTTAAATTGTGAGGGCCTTCCATCTCCTCCAGTACATCACCTGGAATGGCTCATGAAGTTCCACACCATCACCATCTGGTATTTCCAGTCTTTGGGGGTAATCCAGGCAGTGACTATAGATACTTAAGAAGTTTTGTTTGGAAAGGATTGTTTGTTGATAGACACTAGGCATAGGCTCGTGGAATATAGGTACTAAAGGGATGTTTGCTCCTCACTAATCTGAGATTTTGTTTTTTTCCAGATTGAGCAATACCCAGGAAGACTATGGAGCTTCTTACACCAGGCCCAAGAGTATCTCAGAAGCCCATGGACTTCTTCAGGAAGAGCTGCTGGCATATTCGTAGGTAAACACTAAGTTATTTGATCTCCTTCACCTTCCACCACCACCCTTAACAAGTTCAGGACTGTTTCCTACAGCAGCAAGAGCTTATCCCTTAGTTCCAAGAGTCTTGATTTCCATCACCCGAAGGGCTTAACGCTAGAGTTTACGCAAAAATAGAAGAAACATATTAGAGCCTTAACATCTCCTGCATTACCCCTAACTGCCCCAGTCTGCTCCCAGAGGAGTCCTGCCCTAGGACATTGTAGATATTAGCTCATTTGGCAGTAAACTACTTTCCAGACATCCACCTCATTATTAGGAGTTTGGTGGCAGAACAAATTTGGCATTATCACTGGAAGATATGAAATGTTATGTGACATTAATTTTTTTTATTTACCTCTAGACATCATAATCCAGCATATGGAATACAGCCTAGTGGAAAAGAAAGCCATGGATTTATTGCAGTGTGGTAAGTAATGACTTCCAGGTTAAAACCAAGTGTGTTTCCTTGGCATTGACACACAGACATCTACATATCCCTGTCTGTGAGTGCACATGTCCATCCTTCACTTCAGGCACGGTATCTGCACGTTAACCCTTGCGTGACAATTGCATTTAGATTGCAAGCTGAGAACCAGTAACCAGTTATGACTTCCTGATTCTCTGCCCCAGCACAGGTCAAAGCAAGCTCCTCTACCTTGCACTATCTCTTGGAGAGGGTTGGCAGTTAGTACAAGTTAGAGGCACCCTTGGCCTGCTCTAACTTGTACCAGGGTAGAGAATCAGGGTGCCATAACTTGTTGCTGGTGCTCAGTTTCTCATCTCGTCACCACACCTCCCTTGGACTGCCCTGGGTGGCTGTTTGGGGCAGGGAGCCACCCATTGCTAGGAACTCTCCTATACTCAGGCAGAGTGAGTTGAGCACCTATCCTTCTATCCCTGGGGCTCTTACTGCTCAGCAGGGAAACAGGCAAAAAAATCACCCAGAATTACTCCCTCCAATCCACTGGGTGAGCTGCTGAGTACCTTGGGCTACAGATGTGGTGGCTGGAGGCAAATGGGGGAGGTGGTACCCCCTACCTACTCTCCCCTAGTTCAGGCATTTTCATTTAAAAACCACAGGATGCAGCTCAGATAACACGGTTACATTCATAATCAAATACAAGTTTCTTCTTAAAACAGTCACCTTCAAGGGCCACAGTTTAGAGGCTTGAGGTTTACACGTGGCCCCTGGGTCACAGGTTGGACTACCCTGGCATAGATAACTTAATCATAGACTTTTTGTAGCTTTTACTTATGATTCCATCAATCATTACCATCTACTCCAGACAAGCATTTAACTGCTCCCCTCCCTCACCCATGGAGTAGTAACATGACATTTAGAAAGAGATCCAGCTTTCAAAGTTTGTGCAAGATGAGATGAGAGCAGACTGCTCAATGAAAGTTGCTTAAGAATAAGGACAGAGCTCTCCAAGTAACTTGGCAGTGGGGGTGGGAAAGCTTCTGGGATGTGCGAGTGATCATGCAGCAGTCCCCAGGGTAGCTAGGACTGGTGACAGTGAAGATCCAGGTCATTTCTGTCTTTATGCAGCAGTTCTGCCCTGCCCTTTGCTCTTTGGTTGAGCTTTCATGTCTTTACCATTAGAATCAGAACTATCAATCCAGACAGTTGCCAGTATCACCACTGAGGAGGTGGAGCGAGTATGCAGGCCTTACCCAGCACCATGTGCCATGGCCTGCTGCTTCCTGTGGTAAGCTTTGCCTCATTTTGTCTAATAGAAACATGCAAAAATGAGCAATGACCTCAATTATTGTCAGTGCTGGTATAATGGATCCAGAACTACAAAAGACTTAATATTCATAATCTTTATCAAATTCAGGTCCTTCTCCAAAAGTACAAGCCGCTATCTTCTGAGCTAAAGGAGAATCTCCCTTAGCTGTGACAATATTTGTGCTTATATGTAGAGCTGGACCCACAACCAGGAAAACACATCAAGCAATGCTGCTTTGTTGAAATTTCCATCCCAAATTTTACAAACCCAAGAGGCTCAGAAAGTTTAGAGGAGGTGTTAGAAAGGATATAACTCAAACCACTGAATTTTGAAGTTTCTGCATTTCTAATATAACGTGTCATAGTAGCAAAGCTTAAAATCAGAGAACTCAGGAATAGCCAGAAGCCCTACAGGTACAATAGTGAAATATAAATAAACAGGGCTCAGATCCAGTGTCCACTGAAATCAGTGGCAAAGCTCCCACTGATTACAAGAGATCTTATACTGTGTGCAGTTTTGTATCTCTGAATCTAGAGGGATGCAGCTCATTGAGGTACCCAGGTGGGGTTTTCTCAGATGTTAAAAGGGATCCATCACATCCCTCCTGAAACACTGGCAACTTCTCCAGTTCTCCGCTGGAGAGCCTGTATTCCAAACCAACATCTTCTGAAAAAAGAGCACTGGATGAGCCACCTTTAGAATAATGGCATCTCCTTTGGGATCACAGAGGAGTCCCGATAGGATACAAGCAGTAGATCGGGGTGCCAACTAGGATATTGGGGAAGGGAAGGATATACTGGATTTAGGTCAGTCAGAAAAATGTAGAGACTAGAGCTGGCCAGAGGCCAACAATTTTGTTTCATGAAGACTTCAAGGTTTCAAAATTTGTTTTCATTCTGAATTGGAATGAAAACCAAACCTTTTGAAAGTTTTCACAAAACAGAATGTTGTTGAAATGCCCATTTTCAGATTGAAAAGTGAGGTCATCGTCCTCCTAACTGACCAGAGAGTCCACATCAGAAACTTTTCCATTAAATAGGTCGTCAAAATCGTCATCTCTACAGAAAGTTGCTGTTTCAATGAAAACTGCATTTTCAGACCCAAAAAAAGTTGTTAAAAATGTTGTGGCCAATTCTAGTGGAGACCTTTTCTGTAGGAAATTGATGGTTTTTGTGCTGTGGTTCTAACTGGACTTTGTTCTATGTTCCAGTTCTTGTGGATTTGCTGTTTGATCCTGAGGCCTCTGTCCATACCATCATCACCATCCACATCAAGACAGAGCAGGAATCAGACAGTAACGTGTGCAATTCTCAATGAAAATGGTCTTCTTCCTAGAACTTTATTTTATAATAGTAACATCCAGCAATTAACAATGAAGTCAACTATTGCCAGCTTTCCTCTGTTAGATCACCACGTCAAAGAAATTGCCCTGTTTGTTCTTTGGGTAAAAGTTTTCAGTAAAAGTTGGACAATTCAACCAAGAATGTTTACTGATGTTTATGATGGGATGTACCAAACCCACGCTGGGCTAGAAGGGGTTAATAAGAACCTGTGGGCTCAATCAGCCTTGCCCTACTATACTGGCAATAGGTGTCGCACCAAGAGGAGAGAGTTAAAAGGACTGAACCCAGCCCTGTTGGGGCTGACCAGGAAGAAAAAGTAGATTGCTGACTCTGACTCAGTGAGAGAAGCCTGGCTGGAGTCAGGATGCTGAGTGGGACTGATGGCAGACAGAGCCTCCATGAAGGAAGGTAGCCCAAGGCAATGGGAAGGAGAGTGGGAGGAAGTGAGTCCTCTAGGATTCTCCATGCTGGGGAGGGGCAGGGGTATCCTGCAGAGAGCAGGAAAACTCCAGCTGAGTCAGGAACTGCCCTGCCAGGGGAAACAGAAACCTCTCCTGCAGCAGAACTCACTGCTTGGGCAGAAAGCACTATGGAGCTCTGCAGTGAGCCTGGGAAGAGACTTAAAGAAAGAGTAGCTGATACCCAGTGAGCTAAGAGGAGTCTGTGGCAGAGGCACAAGATAGGGCAAGGTAGGAGGTGGTCCAGAGAGATAGCCAGGGGTCTATATAGTCAGGCCTTGCCTGCTTGTTAAAGGGTCCCTGGACCAGAACTCAGTGGAGAGAGATGGCCTGGTTTCCCCTACTGAAGAAAGGGGAGCTGAAACCTCCTGACGAGGTTATGCCTATTGAATAATGCCTATTGAAACCCCATGATACCAGAGGTAAGTCAGGAGTTGAACCTTAGTTCCAATGTGAGGTCTGTGAACATTTGTTTGTTGAACAGTTGGTTTACCCCAGAACGGGTGGAACTATATGTGACCTGGCTGGAGAGCCAAATTGCAAGGAGAAGCAGCCCCTGCAGGGCCAGAGCAGCTGTCAGCAGTGGACACTAAAGGAGGAGAGCCTGCTATACTGTGCTCAGCTGCAAAGGGGCACACCTGTGAGTCGCTCACTTACATGTTATATTCAGATTTAACTAGGAAGGGGAAATGATCCACAAAGAACCACAGACAAATCAGTCTCTTAACTGGTTCAGTTTTCTACCGAGTTCCAGTGGTTGCATCTAGACTGTGATTCCACTTAGGTGCCACAGAAGGGGACTAGCTCTGTGGCTCTTCTGTTCTCTGAATGAGAGGTGCAGAACAGACGAGGTCTCAGCCCATCTCGGCCATACAGCATGGAGCTGCACTCAACCCCCCGGCATATACAGGTATGTCTATCCTGCAACTGGGATCAGGCCCCCAAGTCCAGGCAGACAGACTCATGCTAGCTCTGCTAGTGCTAGTGCACTAAAAATAGCAGTGTGGGCATTCAGCCTCCCGAAGTCAAGCCTGCCCTGGCTCTGAGCTTGGGTGGCTAGAGTGAGTGCCAATGATCTGCAGCAAACCTTGCAGCAAACCTGTAGCATGCTGGGTCTAGCAGAGCTAGAGTAAGTCTGTCTACCTGGACAGGAGGCGCCCTCTCAGCTGCAGTATAGATAAACCCAAAGAGTACTCTGGGTGATCATGGTGATCCACTGGCCAATGAAAGAACAGCTGGATTCTCAGCCAACCTTCCTTTTATCAGAAGGGTGGCAGCTGGTACTGGGGTGGCTAAAGAGAAGAATACATTTTAAAAATCAATGAGTTGTCCGGGCTTTGAGAGAAGGATAAGGAGACCCTTTCTCGCCTCCCTACTTTTAATATGGGGTACTATGTATTTCTGAAAAAAGAAAAGGAGGACTTGTGGCACCTTAGAGACTAACCAATTTATTTGAGCATGAGCTTTCGTGAGCTGCAGCTCAAGCTTATGCTCAAATAAATTGGTTAGTCTCTAAGGTGCCACAAGTACTCCTTTTCTTTTTTCAGAAATACAGACTAACACGGCTGCTACTTTGAAACCTATGTATTTCTGGGCTGCCTGCCATCAGTGACCCAGGGCTGAGCTGTGTAGCTTGCTTCTCTGTGATACTAAAGATATGTCTGTGTTATTTTGCAGTTTTAGTTAAATGCTAATGCCTTTCTCGTCATTTCAGAGTTTTCTTGCCAAAGTGAACCCAAACTGCTGCAGTAAACTGCCTGATTGAGGAAAAGTATTTCACAAAATAATTCAGATCATTTGTTTTTTCAAATTTGCAGCACCACTTTTTTCATTTTCAGCAATTTTATGAAGATTTTTATTGGAATCATTATCAAAATATTAGAAATATTGTTTATTGAAAATTTTGACATTCCTGTCTCCCTAATATAAACTGCTATAACTTCCCAGACTTCTGATTTTCTGTGATTCTGAACTGTTTAGGATTGGTCAGGAGCCCGAAAAGTACAATGGGAAGACTTATAAAATTAGCTGTGCAAGTCTGCACATATTTGCCTTTCAGCAGTTATTTGGTTAGTTCCCCTCACTACAGAAATCACTGTTACTCTTCAAAAGGAGTTTTCTGCAGAGATAAACAGGAAGAGGAAAGAACAAACAAGTAACCCTAAAACCAGTCTCTTTCTTAGTTTTTTGATTGTAGGTCGCTGAATTCATAACTTTAAACACCAGACAGGGCTAGTGCTCTGTCCCATATATTTGAGAAGCTTACCCCAGAACTGCCTGCTTAGGTTCTCAAGCATCCATTCTTTATGGCAGCTACAGAGGAGCACTGATGTGTCTCAGATTTCTAAACATTATTTCTCATACTTACACTCCAAGGGGCAAGATCGACGGGAGTCTCCTGACCTCAAAACCATGCTTTTCCATGACCAAGTATCCCAAGTCACTGTTCTTCTGAAGAAAGTCATTTGAGTGAGATGCCTATAAAATTATTAAGGCATCTCCTGAGATGCCCAAGGAGTCAGTATGGAGTCCCATGGGATATGAGTAGGTGTCAGGGAATATATGTGATGTAAGGGATAGGTAACCATGAAGATTCATGATGTGGGTTTAGGTTTAGGTTACAGGGAGAAGTTTCTGGACTGTGTGAAGACTAGTAGGAAATATCACTGCTTAAAGACTCCATTGCTGCAGGTCCATGAACTACTGAAGTCAGTTTGACAACCACTCAGTATGTAGGGATGTGTGAGGGCATAAATAACTTCCCCTCTTGTGTTGAGGTCCTTGCACTCTTTAAAGTCCTAGCACCCAAAATGGATGTGGGTCTTTATGTTAGTCAGAGTTAAACTGAGTAAAACTTTGTACTTACATCAGTGAGGGATTTTCCTTAGTCGCAGTTAAACATAACTGGTAGGAAAATGGCCTCTTGAAGAAGAACTAGAACACTAATTGTGCTTTCACAATCTTTTGCTGTTAAGTTCCAGCTTAACCATTAGAATTTGATAGGTGTTTCTGGTAGTATCACTAAGCTTCACGTGCAGTGGTGTATGGGGGGGGTATTAGAGACCAACACCCTAGTGAGACCTGCTATAAGCACTGCATCGAGGAAAGCAGATGGAATGTGACAACTGCTCCACTCTTGAAGTAGGTGAAATGTATGCTCCTGTTCATGGGGGCCAGAGATACAGGCACAGATATAGCTCTTCTCATCACTTTTGGGTGCTAGAACTTCAGTGAGTGCAAGGACTTCAGTGCAAGAGGAGAAGTTCCCCATACCCTCACTGCTTTGCAAATTCATGCAGGGGCCAGGGACAATTTACTGTGGTGCCTGTATGAGGGCAGAATGCTATATCAATCTTATTTTTAATAGGAGTGGTTATACTAAATATCAAGTCACCATTGTGTATTTAAACCAGAGATTTTTAAATTTCCTTCAACAAGCTGCTTTTTCGTCAAACATCTCCTCACTCTTAGCCTGGTCAGTTATAAAACACTAGCCTTCTACATATAACAGCAACTAGTGCTGGAGATCTTTAAAATGGCATTAATAGCCAGAACTAAGTATATCCTGTTTCAGTATATGTATGGAGGCAGATACTCTCTCTCCCTCCTGTCCATAAAATCTAGGCATTCTTACATGCATGTCCTTCTAAAAACTATACTCTTCAGTCCTTCCTTTGGAAGGTCTCGATCTTCAGAACAAAAGATAATCTGAGAAGTAATTAACTATTTATCATTCAGCAACAGAGATTGTTAGAGAGAACTAGTTCCATGATAAGCATGCATATGAGCTTCCTGAAGTCTCAGTGTGTAGCACACATGAAAAAGAAAGGGACCTTGAGGTCAGAAGCAGATTGCTATTATACATCACCAAGGACGGTGTGTCAAGTACCATATTTATGTGTGAAGTGGAAGGGAATTAATGAAGTACAATTCAGACAGTATGTGTTCTCTGGAGCAATACCAGTGACTGATGGCTTGCAATAATCATTGAGCCAGATCTATTTAGATAAGAAATTCTGAACATATTAACATGTTAACGGACTCGTTAACTGTCCCAAGTATAGAGTGCACAACAAAAAGTTTGTGCTATTGTTTCCAAGGTTTTTAACAAGCTCTTCATTTTTCTCATAAGCATGTGTGTGTCGAGATGTTGTTGAGCTTTTGCAGGCATTAAGCATGGTATTTAAACCTTGGAATAATAATACAATGTATAATTTTACACAACACGCACTTTAGCGTTCTTTAGGAGACTGAAATATTTTTTTTTTAGGAAACTCACTTGTCAGTACTCGAAATTAGTTATTAGTGCCATCATGTTCTTGGATAACTTCTCCTCTAACAGCCAGATTCTGCCACCCTTACCTTACCTCCATGGAGCAGTACTTTTCTTGATGGGTGGTCCTATTGACATCAGTGGTACTAGACACTACTCCAAGGAGGTAAGGGTGGTAGGATATGCCACAAAAGGACTATATATCCTGCTGTATCACAAGGTTCACTGGACCTTTAAGAGGTTCAGGTCCAAGCTCTGACCTGTGCCTGGTTCCCACCTCCTCCTGATCACATAATTCAGAGAGCAGATGATTTCAAACCAGGCCTGCTGGAAAATATAAGAGGCCCCCAGTTCTTAGAGGGAGAACTAACAGGAGCAGCACTACATTTGGGAAGCTGTCCTGGAACTGGTGAAGAATTGTTTGTGGCTCTGGGCTGAGTGGGAGCTTAGCAGAAGAAGCCAGAAAAGAGGCAAAGAAAGCCTGACCAGCAATAGGCACTGGAGGAAATGACTTGGAGTCAGTGGAGCAGGGCAGTCCAAGGTTGAGAGCAGACTGCTGCCCATGCTTTAGGAGTCCAGGGCTAGAGTC